AGATTTGGACGTACAGATTTGGACGTACAAAGATTATGACGTATAGATTTGGACGTAGCAAAAAGAATATATCTTAATTAAACTATGATTTTATTTGAGATTCAGTTGTATTTTTCATTTCTCTCAGAAAGGACTCGGTATTTTTTATCAGCGTTTCCCGAAGAAATGATAAAGCGGATTATATGCCCACACCCCCACCCCACACCCATACCCACCCACACCCACCCACAGTCACACCCACCCACACTCACACCCACACCCTCGCAACGGGTTCATCAATTCCTAGAATCATTTAGTGCCCCGTATGCTGGATACGATAAAATGTCTTTGAATATCACAGCATTATTTTATTAAATACTCACTCTATAGAGAGAATATTATCCATCACTCTATCCAAATCATATGTTAATGAATTGATCAGTTTCGTATTGGTTTCATACACTTTGAGCGCCAAGTCGATAGCTTTCGTATAGAATTCAAGAGCTCTATCATATATTCTTTGATTGTAAAAGACGGATCCCATCTCTCTGAAGATTCGAACCAAAAATGGATGTTCATCACTAACACGACGAATAATTGTTTCACTCTTGTAAAAAAATGTAAGAGCTTGTTCATATTTCTTTCGTGCATTGTATATTATTCCAAAAGTTTCATAGGATAACCCAACGTTGACACTGTCAGATGGCAATTCTGTTAGAAGTAAATTAAATGACTTCTGACAAAGATATTCAGCTTCTTCGAACGAACCTTGTGCACATTTGACAAGAGCAAAAATATCATAAGTAAAAGCAAACTTATAATGATTGTCATCTTGAATTTTATACATCGATCTTAAAAGAGTGATACTTTGCTGAAGATAGTCTTCTGCTCGATCTAATTGATTTAATCGACAGTAGGAGGAACCTAGACGTGTATAGACATTAGCCAATCCTGGAAATGTGTTGGGCGGACATTGTTTTAAGATAGCTACGGCTGATTCAGCGGCATTTATTGATTCATCATTATCGAGTTTTGATGCATATACACAAGCTAAATTATAATAAGCTGTTGCAATAGTTGGATGATCGGATGGTTTGCAGTTCAATTTTACTTGCAGCGATAATTTTAAATAGTGAAGAGCCTGGTCATACTTGGCTTGCTCACTGTAGACACATGCTATGTTGTTATAAATGTTACCAAGTATCTCATGATACGTCGGTAAAATGGCTTGTGCAATATCTAGAGCTCGATGATGATATTCGAGTGCTTCTGTACACTTATTCAATGACGTATAAGCACTGCCTAAACCCGTATACGTTGTAATAAAATATGGTGATTGACACGTCACAATGTTTAATTTTTTTGTAGTCAATTGTTTTTCAAAATATTCTATTGCTTTTTTACATGAACCATTGTCAAGATGTAGGGTACCAATATTACCATAAGCATCAGCAAGTAGGTCATTTTTCAAAGAAACAGATTCTTGAGAATGAATTATATCGATGGATCGTTCATAATATGTTATGGTTACGTCCTGATTTCCCAAACCTTGATGTGTCAAAGCAATATTGTTGTAGAGACAAACGAAAACAAGATGAGTGTTTGGTAAAGTGCATTGAAAAATTTTGAACGCTTTTTCGTAATATATTAAAGCTTCTTCATATTTTCCACAATGATAATAGTTTTCTCCAAGATTAGAATTTATATCGCCAAGAAATATGCTGACATCTTGAGAATTTCTTTTCAAACAATTTGTTTCTATAAGCAAAGCTTTGTCCAGAAAGCTACGCGCAGTCATTAAATCAGCCTTCGCATGACCATAGACTCTTCCTATGGCAGTATATAAATGTCTAAATAACAAATGACTTTCAGGCAAATATTGACGCCATATTTCTTCAGTTTTAAAATAATAAAACAGTGCTTGTGTATTATAATCTATTTTAGCAAAGAGATGCCCAAGATGAAGATATGACATGCCCACCAAGACATGATTAACTGTTTCTGCTTTCAAACGTTTTTCTAACGCAACACCAATTGCTTCACAAGCTTTAACAAGTTCACCATTTTCTGCATATGATATACCCAAATCATGATAACAATCAGCTAAGTCTGGATGATCAGATGGCAAACTTTGCGAATAAATTGAGATAGCTTTTTTCATATATTCAATAGCATCAGAATACTTTCCTTGATTGTAATGCAATTTAGCTAGATTTGAATAAATTCTACCAAATTCATTACTATTTGATCGTAGATGTCCTTTATAGATTCTAATAGTTGATTGAAAATAATCCAAAGCATCTTCATATTGATATTGATAAGTATGATAAACACCTAAAGTATTGTATAAGTCAGCCAAAGATAACATTTTTAGACGACGAGCCTCATCAGAGAAAGTTCCATCGAATTCATTAACTATCATTGATATTGTTTTTATAATTAAAGTATGAGCCATCTTATATTCACCATGGTCCATCAATAAACTGGCAGCCTTAATACCCAATTGTGGAAACATGGGTAGTATTGGGCGTGGTACTAGTTTGACACACATTTGATAACATTTTAACAAACCATTGGGGTCAATATAATTGCACGTCATATTGCAATTAGCGAAACTATATAATAGAATGGCTCTGTCCAAACCTGAGAGTGAAAGATGCGATTGAAGTTGATTTGCATATATTTGAGCTGCCAGATGGGATTCTCCTAATTGATCTAAGCATTTGGCAAAGTCATTAATACTCAATTGTTCGTGACGTTTCCGATCTGGGAGAAAATTATGCGCATCTTGGACTCCAGTAGAATCTTGATTATAAAGTGACAATTTAATAATCCAAATATTATCTTGTGATTCAACAGAATCAATACGAAAGATAGCACCTAATGCAAGAAGAATTTCTTCTTCGCCAGGATTCCAACTTGACTTTTGAATGTCAGCATATGGCAATGAACATGTGTCTGTTTGAATTTCGATTTCAAATAGAACTGATTCAAGTTGAGGTCGTCTAGCACCTTCTCCAGAAAACATGACCGAAACTTCTCGATCGCTCGATGTTGACAGGAATGTATTCATAGAAATATAATGGCCAGTATTTCGTCTGAGTTGGTCTAATTCTCGAACAGACATCAATTGACCACGATAAACTTTGAGTACATATGGAAAAAGCTCTAAATCTAGCAAACACTGAAGATAATCACAGTGTAATTCGAGTAATTGAGTGTAAATATCAGCCAGTATGTAACGTAATTTATAGATACAATCAATATTTTCAGCTCGAAGAACTTTGTTTATAATACGAAATAGAAACGAGTCTCTTGTGTACCATTTAATTGCTTTGTCTGATCGATAGTTTAGTTCAAAATCAGTAATCTTATCTTGTTCAGTTTGATTATTGACATAACATGATCGACAAAATTCGATCAGTTCTTGTTTTGCTGCATTTTGTTCAGGTACACAAAGAAGAATTTCTAGTATATATTGGAACCACATGAATTTTGCTGCTTGTTTTGTCAAATCTTTGCTTGATTTGCCACTTTCTATTGGAGAAGTGAAAATATTAAATTTAGTCATATTCTCGGTACAATATCGAACATCATCAATAAGTTTGACAAGTAGATCTTGTTCATTAACCAAGACAGCACGATTATTGTTCAAAAAGACATCATTATTTAATGATAATGACGAAGTAATTACATAGAGAAATGTAATCTGAATAAGTTCATTTGCTTTATTAAGAATATTTGACTCGTCAAATGAATCGATTGAAATAAGAAGAATGATATGATCAATGTCACTATTGATTATATAATCGAAGCAATCATTGACATCAAAAAATGGTTTTAAATAAGATGTTATATGTTGCAGCTGAAGTTTAGCCTCGAAATATTTGTCTGTATAATGGAACATTTTATTGAGCCAAATTAATTCGAAATTCTCAAGTTTTTCTATGTTTATTGATGATAAATCATTTTGATCCATGTTTTTTTCCTTCTCACCCATTACATGAGACTGATCGTCTTAATTTGTGTCATGCACGAATGCATCATCACATTTTTATTTCTTTTTCTTTTTCTACACCGATTTAATTTTCTACAGTCCTAATTTACGTTTTGTTATTTAAGAAAAAAAAAAGCGTGCACGTGTTTACAAGGTCGCAAAAAAAAATATACATCGGTGTTTATTAAAATTGTGCAGTGGAAGGTTTTTTGCATTCAGAATTCATTATAGGACATTTTCTTACATGTTAATTCTACACTACTTGATGCACAAAACACTTCAATCGTACTGTAAACTTTGGTGACCCTAATATTTCGCATAACATACACTGTTATGTATAAGATTGCGCTAGAATCAAATTCGAATCTTGAGGGTGTGGGTGTGGGTGTGGGTGGGTGTGGATCAAGGAAAGGCGCACACTCACACACCCACTCACACCCCACACCCACACCCACACACCCACACACCCACACACCCACACCCACACCCACACCCACCCCCACACACCCACACTCACCCATACCTACACCCATACCCTCGCACCCACACCCTCACACCCCCACACTCACACCCAGAAAGTTTTATACGCTACACTACTAGTATCTTGACAAGACTCATACTGCTGTTGCTCAAAATTAAAAGACTTGAAACTAACATCTTCAGAAATTATAGTTCTTTTTTTTTTAATGTTGATCACAAAATTACCTCAACAAAGATTATGTTTGAGTTAAGTTTAAGAAACTTTATTCCAAAAGAAAGGTGAAAAGTCAAAATTTTGCTTTCAATTGGAATGTAAAATTTTTTTTGAATGAGTCAAAAATCCAATGTTTTCACAGGATAATTCAACTTGCTCTATAAGATAGAGAAACTCAAAATCTTTGCGTCTAAGCATTTTTTTCGATAAATTTTTGTTTGTAACGTCTTACTATTGATTATGTTGACAGTCTAACTTGAAATAGTTTCAAATATTCTACTTTTATTTTGTTCATATTTAAAGGATTTGATGAATTACAATTATTACTGTATCCATTATCTCAACAATTAAAATGTTTAGCAATATCTTGTTGGTCATATGAATATGTCAATGGTCAGAAATGGGAAAAATTTTTTAAATCATTTTTATTATTAAAACACTTTCATTTGGATATCACTTTATCTACATTACCATCACATCCAATCACTATCAAACAAATATTATCGACATTTCAAACAAAATTTTGTTTTGGGATGCTCATTGGTATTTTTCAATTGACTATAATCCAAATGTTCACATCAAATTTGTTCGTTATACATTGCCATGGCCTATTAAATATTTTCATACAATCTTGTATAATATAAAAACATTGTCAACAACAATAACAGATTACTCGTATTCGACAAAAAATGTTCAAAATTTATATATTCAATTATATAAGCAAGTATCAAATTTAACAGCTTTAATTAGTAAAAATGATGTACAATGTTATTATTCGAATGTTGAATCATTAATTTTAATTAATCATTTATCAAATAATAATGATCGATCTTCTCAAATTATTGATGATTTATGTCATACAATCGATTTAACAAAAATAAAATCATTAAAATTTGATAAATTTGATTATTTACAATCAACATCTCTATTATTAATATAATAAATTTTATACCTAATTTATTAGAATTAAAAATTTTTTTCAAAATCTATTTACAACATCAATATTTAATATCAAAAATATCAACAATTCAAATATTAATACTTTATTTTGATTCGGATCATATCACTGAAGATATATTAACAAATTGTTTTTCATTATTATCAACAAATATTAAAAATTTAAAATGTATAACAAATAATCAAAATGAAATATTGAATCTATTAAAAATTTTATATCAATTAAAGTTTTTAAATATAGAAAAATTATTATTGAAAATCAAGAATGGAACAGCAATACAGACATTTACGAATGAATTTATTCAATTTATAGATCAATTTATGACGAAAATGTCTTTAGATGATAAATATGATTTTATGTATAAAATGAACGATAACAAACAATTAGCTATATAGTTTTAAAAAACTAATGAATTTTCATGTTTATTATTGATGTTTAATTATCATTATTCAAGACAATGATCGGATGACAATAAAAATTTGAATTTGTTTTGAGTATAAAGAAAAGGAATTTATGCAATTTGCTTTTAACAATTTTGTAATAAATGAGAGAGATTAAATAGTCGGCTTTGGCAACGTTTTTTTTTATGCGAATTAAACTTAATCAGAAAACTTCATTTTGATACTGAATGATAGGAAATTTTGTGTGAATTGTAATTATCCGTTTCTTTCACAATTAAGCATTTTTCATTTTCTCTCAGCATTAAAAAGACTGCAAGGGGTGTGAGGTGTGCAACAGAGAATATCGGTACCGATAGCAGTCTTGTTTTCTCGAACCACTCCAACCCTCATAGAACAGATGTGCCAAATCCCAAATGTTCGTGACGCCAAAGGTTGATCTGCACCCTTCATTGTGTAGCTAAACCGAATGTGTGCGTTCAGACGTCTCACAGTGTTTTATTGCGCAGTCCATGTTTATGCTAGCAAACCATTGCCTGGGTCAATAGTGGTCTTACACGGATATCTAAATCTTTTACAAACATTTTTGTAACAAGCGTTGCATTTTCGTGTGTAAGAAACATACTGTTCGCTAAAGCTCCACGAGAGTCGTGAGTATATTTTCCTGTAAAGCCATCAGACAGTCGAAGTATCACTTCGTATTTTACTCTTGGTATTTCACACATCTCAGCCAACAAACTTCTGTTTACAAATTGAGGAACAAACATATACTATTTCACAGCACTCATCAAGACTCATAAACGAAGCTCAGCCTCTTGAGTAACTTTGGTTGTAGACTGCACCAACAGCGAAAATACTGTCTGGGGATTCAAGCTTTTGGGCATCTCCACACACGAGCTCCCCTGTTTTACAGTTTCTAGCCGGGGATGTTCATTTTCCATCGAACGAATAATATACTATTCGATAGGGCTCATCACATTGCATCAATTGAGCTATGTTTCATGAGTGGCTCAAGCGATGGAGCGAATCGTCACGGAAAATACTTTTTTTTTGCTTTAATTTTTTTCCAGTAGCTTTTATCAAAAATCTGAATTCGCCATTGAATCGAGCTGCATCTGGCTCACTCTATTGCAGAGTTGACTCAACAAATAGAATGAATCGCTTTCGAAAATATTCAAATCAGTTGCTAACTTTCCTTACATGTTTTTATGCGTATTTTCTCAAACGAGTTTTACTACGTTTAAAAATAACTCGTCATTCTTCGTTTTTTATAATAATTTAACGCGTTTAATCGCGTTAGAAAAACCTGATCACGTTAAAATACGTAGAATCTTCCTAGGTTTACATATTTTTACCAGTTCCTGCGGTAATTTCTATCGGTTTTATTGCATTCGTAGTATCATATATGAGAATTATTAAATAAATGAGAGAGAACTACTGTTATTCATTCTTTGATTCGTCGTCGGTTTAGATTACAGAAAAGTGTATCATTATCTCGAATGACGGCAGCGGTCAAATCCTACAAGTGCATATATATATATATATATAAATGATTAGTATCATATAAAAAAATGAAAAAGAATTGATATTTGAATACGACAATGGAACATTCGTTTATTCAACTGATCGATTTACCGGACGAGATACTTGTGAATATTTTCAAGAAATTAAATGATGTTGAAGTACTCTATTCTTTAATGGGTGTTAATCAACGATTGAGTAAAATTGTATGTGATTCAATGTTTACTAATCGTTTAACATTATTGAGATATTTATGGAATGGTTTTATCTTTCCATTATCTCGAATAGTACTTGATAGATTTTGTTTACAAATCTTACCTGAAATTCATCATAAAATCCAGTGGCTTAACCTTGAATCATTATCGATGGAACGTATTTTATTTGCTGCCGATTATCCTAATTTACGTGGACTTGGTCTGTATAATATTAATCAGAAGACTGCTGTACATTTCTTTATGGGTAAGAAATTTAAATTTCATTGTTTCAATCATTAAAAATATAAAAATTAAGACGGTTCGTTTTATTAAATTCTTAACTCTAGTGAAAATGGATGAGAGCAAAATCATCAAAAGAATGATCAATATATAGAAATAATATTTAAAAAAAACCCAATTCTTGTCCTTTTTAATCTAATTTTTTTTAAATATTTTCAGGGAAATAAGAATATAATGAAATATAGAGGCACGGATCTTATGATTTAATCAAGAAAAAGGATGACTAACTTTTTTTTTCTTACAAGGAAACATTCCCAGGTGCCGGAGCGCTCCTCAGCCAAGGTTTCGCACATCTTGTAGCCCATAGTGAGTTTCGAATTTTGGCTTGAAATTTTGCCTGCATAAAGATCTCAGGTAGACTAGTTTGCATAGAAAATTTCAGAAGTTTTGAATAAAGTTTCTCTAAGATAAGAAACTATCAAGGTATGGTCTCTTTTTCATAAATAATATATATAGTATGCATTTTTTTTTCAAAGCTTCGTATCTTAGAGAGACTTTGTGCAGGCAAAGTTTCAGGTCAAAATTCGAAACTCACTATGGGCTACAAGATGCGCGAAACCTCGACTGAGAAATACTCCGGCACCTGGGAATGTTCCTTTTTTTTAGTGATTTTATATATTTTAGGCGAACAGATTTTAACTCGTACATTCAAAAATCAAATTTCAACAGTTATTATTACAATCTCAAATAAGAAAGAAGATTTATCAGCGAAAATTGAGATAATGACAGTGTGTTCACATATCTTTACTGCTTTTCCTAATCTACTCTATTTAAATTTTCACCAATCGTCAGATAGACAAATTGATCGATTATCATTTGATTGTCAAATTCCAATGTTTTGTTCAACTTTGTTAGAATTACATATAAAAGTACAACGTTTCGATGATATTCTTTATTTACTCGATGGTCGTTTCAATAAACTTTGTATTTTCTATGTTGATGTTATTAATATTGCTTGTACTCGTACTTCATTGCCAATGATCAATAATAACGTAAGTTACTTCACAAGAAAATAACAATTATTACTTAAATAAATATCTTATTTATTGAACAAATGATTCATATATGTTCTATAAAGACTAATTATATATTATTATTTTGTTTTTCTAGGAAAGATTATCTAATATGAAATGTTTTTCAATGACAAGTTCTTGTGAAACATGTTTTTATGATGAATTAATTGTACCACTTCTACAACGAATGTTAAATTTAGAAAAGCTTGTTTTGAATTTTGCAGCCAATTGTCAAAAAACATTTATCGATGGGAATAATTTAAAGACAAATATATTCAACCATATGTCACGATTAAATATATTTACATTTAATATTCGTTCAAAAATATCTTTTTATGATCAAATGAACTTACTCTCAAATGAAGATATTAAAAATACATTAACAAATCTAGGAGATGATTATAAAATAAATTGTTGTGTTGATTATTTTCCAAAAGAAAAAACTGGCCAATGTCATATTTACTCATATCCATATTCATTAACATATTATGATAATATTACAAATAATTTTTCAGGTGGATTATTCAAATATGTTCACAACGTATCACTCTTTGACGAACGTCCATTTGAACATGAATTTTTTATTCGAATTACTCACGCATTTCCTTTTCTTAAACAATTAACTATAAATAATTTAACACCACAAAATCATAAACAATATGAAAACTTAAACAACAATCAAGATTTGCCAATCATTAAATATCCTTATCTTACTGAACTCGATTTTATTGATGTTCATGATGATTATATCGAGCAATTCTTAGTCAATACCAAAACGTATCTATCAAATTATATTCATACAATCATTGATTATAATTCTTTACAGAGAGTAACACACAATTTTACAAGAGAGGCAACACGAATCAATTGTTATAAATTCAGTCGTCTAATTTTTTGTGATGTATTGGATCTTCCAAAACATATTGTAGACTATTTTCCTCATGCAGAAATAATTATTTTCTGATTATTTAAAATAAAATAAATAACAACAAACAAGATCAATATATTTAAACTTAAGTTACTAAAGCAAAAAAGATCTTATAATTAATTAATGTATACATTTGTTTGAAAAGGAAACAAAATATTTTTCAGTTCTACCAGAATTAGTACACTAATAAAACAATCTGTAAAAGTAGAGGAAAAAAGCTATTAGCTTAATCCGTGTAGAATTAATATTTCTTTTAGATTGTGTTTCACAAAAATGGTATAGAAGATTTAAAACTCAATGAAAAGAGTCCATGACGTAAATGAATTATAAAATAATTCGGATTTACATCGATTCTACGATTTCTATTGACTTGATTCATTACTGAGGATCAGGATTCAGAGAAACTGATCAGGGATTACCACCTTGAGTTTCATCGAGCACGACGTGATAAATGTATATTTCGTGTGTGTCTGTCTTTCTATCTTCACTCATTCATAACTAGTTCGATTTTCGGAAAGTCGTTTTTGATTTCTCGGAAATTCATTTGGTCCGGAAAGCCGTATAAAGCACCATATGGTCCTGTATTTGATTTTGGTTTCTTTTGTTTTGTGACTGATGGTAGACTATGACAGTCCTCGTTCCTGGCAGTTCCTGATATTTCCTGGCTGGTAGTAATCCGCATTTCCTGGTAATCCCTCGTGGAAACTAATAGAAGCTGAATTATCTTAGAATTCATTTACGACATTCAGTGCACGATTTTCTACTCTCAGACTTTACCCGCATGAAATAATTGAGATGAATTACATATTTAAAGTATGGCCCATTTATCTTGTTATTGATTGTTGTTAATGATGTTTCTTCTTATGTTTTTTACATATTATAAATGAAAATTAAATCGATCAAACGAATAAATCGAAGAATATTTATTAAAATTGAAAAAATGTTTTTTTTCTTCGTGATAATACAACAGAAAATAAATATATTTATTTTTTGTATAATAAACTATCATTATCAGTAGATGATGATCTATCTGTACTATTATGAAAACTGACGTACGATCAGTGGCGTACGCAGAAATTTTTCAAGGGGGGGAGGGGCCCAACTTTGTAAGGAGGGGGCCCGCAGTGGACTTGTAATAAAAGTTATGATACAAAATGTTTTTCACCCGTACTCCCCCACAGGAAATTTTTCTCCAAGGGGGGCCCGGGCCCCCTCGGCACGCCACTGCGTACGATAAACAAAAGTTTATGAAAAAGTTAAATCAGAGACAAAATATAAATGCAAGTGATGATATTTCGATCGTCCATAAAAAATTTTAAAAAATCAAATTTAGATGAATGTCTCGGTTTTTTGGTTCGTTCATGGGCGCTCTTTTCATAATAAGTGAGTGATCGTGCTATTTAAACAAAAATAATTTTAATTTGAACTTTTCAAACAACAAAACTTCATTTGATAAAGTAATATGACCAAGCAGAAATGTTTGTTTTTATCATTTTTAAGAATTTCTACTGTTATAGAGAGAAAATTGTTTGAAAAGATTAAAGATTTCTGTATCATTGTTGCAGAAGATACTGGATAATTCATCATTTTTCGTATGCACTAATCATATATATTCATATCGTTTTTTTGCTAATCAAATAAAAAGCCATATTTTCTATGTTAACTAAATTACTCATAGTTGAGAATAGATTGATTTCTGTTAATCTATATAACGAACTTATTGTATAATATGTCCGTCAAAGATTTAATATTTGCTTTAAAATTTCCTTCTCAATAATTAATTGTATGTTGGATACTCTTCAAAATCTGGAACATAATTAATTAGAGCGTGGGTGAAGACGAGACCCACACCCTCGAAAATGTCTTTTTTTTAATATCTCTCGAACAGTCAAGATTGATGAACATTAATCAAAGCCTATCCTTTCAACTTCCATGAATTTCGCAGAGTAGAAAGTCTCAAGCTTTGATGCTCAATACTTTCCGAATTTTGCGAAATCACATCAGAATGATATTTTATTCTTTAGTTAAAGGACAGTATTGAAAGCTTCACGATAGTTCAAACAAATGAATGATTTCATCTATTCTAACGAAATAATCTTGAAATAAATATAGAAATTTTGAATTACCATCATTCGTTGAGATTATTTATCTAGTATTTCAAATTGAACATTTTTCTTGAGTTCAGAAAACTGTTTGAACTTAGGCTATCTTATCATATCAAGAGAATTCAATGGGTTCAAAGCATGTGAAATCTTTATTCATGCAATCTATACAAATTCTCAGATTTCTAGTTTGATTGACGCCATCACAGGAGCAAATTCATTCCTTATGCATAGGCCAACAGAATCGATATAGTTGAAATAGACAGTGATTCAAGTTGAGATTTTTCTTCAAAATAAAAAGTTCTTTGTTATTGATCTATTATTTACAACAATAACTTATCACCCCTAATTTGAATAATTTAGTCCAAAGAAAAGAGTCTGTTTAAAGATCAAATTGTAGTTTGCCGCTAAGTGTCGAATAGTGCCGGGTCATATACTCGAATTCATCTTTCGTCGTCTTGTTTTCTCACTTCTGTATTCTGCTCACTAGTCTGAACAAAATGAATGAATAGACAAAACGGACTAGATATGATCAATGTGAGTATGTTTTGGACTATTTCAAACATAGTTGGAGGACATTTTTCGCAAAAGGACTGATTATGACGGGTAGTATGGACATTTCGGACATCCTCATTTATTTATTGTCTAGTTGGGACACTATATATATATATATTGATAACTACTGGCAAAAGGAAGTCACTATCTCTTGATAAAATAATGCCTCCACCATGTATTATTGAAACATGCAAACGTAAATCATCAGCATTATGTCATTGTTGTAATAAAAATCTTTGTCCTGATCATTTAAAAGAACATGATGATTCAATAAATTCTCAAATACATCCTCTTGTTGGTGAAATTATTGATAAATGTCGTCAAAAAATTAGATAAATGGCGTCATGATTCTCCTAAAGAAATTGATCGTTTTTATGAAAAATTTCAAGAATTACAACAACGTTGTATTGAACGAGTTAGTCAAAAACGAAAAAAAATTCATCAATTAAAATTAAAAACAAATGAACTTATTCGAGAACAAGAAACTACCTATGATGATATTTCTTCATTTAAAGCAATTATTAATGATATCAAACGTGATATAGATCAATATGAAGAGAATGGCATTTTAGTTGATGTTCATCCTTTAATTATTAATAACAATTTGATTTATATTGAAAAATGGACATTGAATGAAATTGATATATCAACTCTTTCGTCTCTTTATCGAACAATCGATTGTTCTAATGATGATTGGCCTGTATTAACTAGCAATAATCGATTTTTACTATTGAATCAATATCCTAATTTACGTTTATTTGATAAAGAATTAACTATTGTAAAACAATGTCCATGAGAATATGATCGTATTTCTGATATGTGTTGGTCTTCAACATTAAATTGTTTTATTATGGTCACAAATAAAAATGAAGTTTTTCAAGTTAATGAAAATTTAACATTAATTCAATCTATTGAAACAATCGAGAAGAAAGAGTGGTTGTCTTGTACATGCTCGGATGTGTCTCTATTTCTTACGACTAATGATGGACATTCTGGTATTTTTGAATTCAATCTTTTATCATCATTTCGTTTAATTAAACAATGGAAATTTCCTCAAATTTGTAATAAAGATGAATTTATTCATAATATTGCTTATAATAATGGAACACTTGCTTTATTAATATCATACCAATCCTTTAAATATGATTCCAGTAAAACAGTACGTATAGAAGTTCGATCTTCATCAACATTCGATCAACTTTGGTCACTTCCTCTTTATATAACATATCAGGATGGACGAGTCAATCGTGTTTGTTCACTTACATATGATGGATGTGGGTGTGGGCGTGGGTGTAGAGAAGATGTACCCACACCGACAGCCACAGCCACACCCCTAGAGTGGAGTTTTGAAAAAAACACTAAAATTTTTTTCTTAAATTTTATATTGTATGTTAGAAATGCATTTTCTTTATTAAAAAACCAATTCAGATAAGTCTGTTATTTCTTTTAAATTATTTTAGTTTATATTCTCAAATTATTGACAAATGTAAAGTACAATATACTATGATTAACAAAGCAAATACATCATAACATACTTATCATTGACATATGCTAAAATCGAATTCTCTTATTTAATATACACTAATTTTTTTAATGATAAAATAAGTGAATCATGTGCTAATTTAACAATGACTGTTCGAATGAATTATTACATGCTTATGTATGATTTTTCTTTTTTTTGTTGAATGCTTTAAGCGAAAAAAATGTTATTTGTTATTAGACTAGAACGTATGTTGATGAAATTCGAACTGAAACTGCAAATCAATTGGAAAAAACACTGTTGAATCAAAATAATGGTTTGTGGATTTTTGAAAATAACATATTATATTATTCTTTTTTTTTTTATCTAGTATCTACTGTTGAATCACTTATTGTTAATGATAAAAATAAACTTATTGAATTGAATAAAAAACTTGACCAAGAAATAATTTCTTTTGGTTATTTAAAAGCATCGATTGAAATAATTGCGTATACAGTAGAGTGCAAAAAGAATTGCCGTTTCATATATGAACTTTCCAGAATTTTTTTTTCTTACACATTCAAAGAAGAATATTCTGGAACCATGTCGACCATGGAGATTAGGTACTATAAATATAATGAATGGTAATATCCGTTCCGAAGTCTCTACCCTAGTATCAATCCTGCTCATTCCTTGAGAAACCCTGGAAGGATCTTTCAGGATCCTGAATATCAAGGATCCTATCAAGTTTTATTCAGGAGCCTGTTTCAAATCCTGGTAATTCCTGTTTCCAGGATTTTTCAAGGTGAAACAGAATCCTGTTCAAGATTTCTTCAGGTTCTTGCTCAGATATTTTTCTAAGTTGAGAATACAGGATCCTACCAGGATTTACTTAAGATCTTATCAATGATCCTCTCAAGATGATGAGAGAGGATTCTGCCAAGATTTTATCAGGTTTTCGTCAAGATTTAGGTCAAATCTTCGTATCAGGATTCTGTCAGGACTGATATTCACATCAGATGAAGATCTTGACAAGAAAATAACAAAATTAGTCAGAATACGAAGCCAACTAATCCTGCAATGTTTCAATCAGGATCTTATTCAGAACCTTTCAAGGATATGCGTTTCCACATTTTGTAAGACAGTATCAATTCTAATCAGAATCTTGATAAGAAAATATAAGAATTTAGCAAAGATCTTTACAGGACGCTGCTTAGTTTCTTCAGTCGTGTCTATTTCTTGAGACAACCTCGCAGGATCTTTAAAAATCATAAATCTTAAGGATCCTGCCAGGTTTGATTCAGGATTCTATCCAGAATTGGTTGAAGTTCTTGCTCGGAGTTTTTTTGTATCGATATTGCAGGGTCATATCAGGATTCACTTTCGATCTTATTCAGGAACCTGACAAAATTCATAAGAAGGATTTCATCAAGATTTCATTAGGTTTGAATCAAGATCTGATCTAGATTCTGATACGAGGATCCTGTCAAGAGTTATGTTAGATCAGAGAAGGATCTTACCAGGAATAAAACAAGATTAGTGAGAATCCTCAACTGAGTAACCCTGCCAAGCTTGGATCAGGATCCTGCGAAGAACTGTTCAAGAACAGACATTTCAAACCCTTAAAAAAAGTACAAGTGTGAGCAGGATCTTGATAGGAATATACGAGGATTCAGTTAAGATCTTTCCAGGTTTGTGTTTAGAGATTATACAAAATTTAATTTTCAGGATGCTGTCAAGAACCTAACAAGAACGAATGAAACAGCTCCTCCAAATTATTAGCTAGATTTAGATCAGGATCCGTTCAAGATTTGTAAATTTATAAATCACAGCGGAATTTCAATACCAATGTTGAGCACAATCTCAATAAAAATAAATAGAAGGGTTTTTAAGATATTATTATGTTTTTATTTGAAACACAACAAAATTCTGATAGCTGAATAATCTACTATCATTTCTATTCTGATTCTGATTTAACACTTTTAATAAAGAAATAGAACTAATCTTCAAAATCTCAGAAAAATATTTTCTAAACCTCGTTAAAGTTTATATAAAAGTTGCTTTATGATTCGAACTACAATATTGAGTTCTTTTTTATCCTATCAGGAAAATAAAATTGAAAATCGTTAAACTATGTTATTAATTCGAATTTAGTTGTCGTCATTTTTTTTTCATTAAATATATAATTTTAATCAGTAGCAAACCTTTTGATAAAAACTGCGTATAGTTTTCATTATGTTTGAAAAAAATTTCCAAATATTTGTTTGAACCAAATTGAAAAAAATTAATTCTAAATATATTTTTTCAATCGAATCAAAATTTTAAAAAATCCAAATATATATTTTTTCAATCGAATCAAAATTTTAAAAAATCCAAATATATATTTTAAATCAAATTGAAATAAAAAAAATTCGAAATATATTTTTTAAATCGAGTTTAAATCCTCAAAAATGATAAAGTTCCATCAACTAAAATAAATATGTAAAATAATATTTCATTTTCGAAATTTTGTTGAAATAATTTCTATGTACATAAAATTCAAATATAAGTTTACGTTAAAGTCAGAAATGAAGATATTGAACGTTGAAGTAATATAGAATAACGTGGCAGATCCAGTTGGGTAAGCTGATCGGTATGTAAACTGAAGGTCTAGAGATCAATACTCTATGTGTTCATTTCCTTTATATTCTATTTAGAAAATCCTGCAAAGACCCTGCCAAGAAGCCTAATAACATTCTGGAAGAAATCTTGATAAATCTTGACAAGATCTGGTCAGGAAATATGATAATATAATAGATGAAACCTACTAAGATTCTGAAATATGTAAACAGAATTTTTTCATTGGAAATCATCAAAATCCTGGCAAGATTCTTCTGAGATCTTGTTTTGAATCTTGCACAAGTCTTGAAGATTTCTTTGTTACACGTTTCTTTCAGGATTTCGGGTTTCCTGGCCGGATTCCTGATTTTAAATCCAATGGTAAACTGTTCAGGATCTTGCTTAAATCCTATTCTTAATCCTGCCAGGATCTTGAAATTTCACGGCTACACGCTTCTTTCAGGATTTATTGATTTCCTGAAAGGTTCCTAGTGCAAAAGCACTGATAAACCTAGAAGTATCCTAGTTGAATCTTGTTTCAATCCTGTCAAGATCCTGATAATTTCACGGCTACACGCTTCCATCAGGATTTCATCATTTCCTCAGGAAAAAATAGCGAATCCTTGCAGGATCCTTTAATGATTTGTGAAGGATCCAGAAAAGAAGCATCAAAGATTTTTCCTAGGGTATCAATTTAATAAAAATGACACCAAAAGTGAAACATAACCATCTGTCAATACATCGATTAGTGATCTTACATTATTATAATCTAGGTCATCGTTGTGCTGCTGAAATTGCTCGGCAAACAAAGATACCTGTACGTACTATCCGGTATAATTTAGCCAAGATTCGGAAAGAAGGTAGTGTGGAACATCGACGTGGTAATGGCTGAACACGAAAGATCACAGCCAAGGACAGCATTGCAATTGGTCAATGGATTTCGAACAAATAACGAAATTACCGCCGAGAAAATTGTCGAAAAACTTCAATTAACTAAAAATTTGAATGTATCACGATGGACAGTGTTGCGTGAGCTTCATCGGTTAGGTAATAAGAATGTTTTACCTCGAGGGACCCCAATGTTGTCAAACGAACAAAAAGAAAGACGTGTCCAATGGGCTTTGGCACACAAGAACGACGATTGGAGCCGTACAATATTCTCTGGTGAAACCTCTTACCGATTATTCAGAAACACGATTCATCGTTGGTCCAAATATGCTCAAGAAGAAAAAAAAAGAATTCCAAAGAATAAACAAAAACTAATAGTATGGGGAGCTTCCAGTATCAAGGGTCAAATATCGTGCCATTCTTTTCGAACCATCATGGATGGTCCTCTTTACGTTGAAATACTTCGAAAACATCTTCTTGGTGGAGCAAAAAAGCAATTTGGAAGTCGGTGGCGATATCAGCAGGATAACGATCCGAAACACACCAGTAGAGTAACAAAACAATTTTTGAAAAACGAAGTACCTGAAGCAATCGACTGGCCCAGCAATAGTACGGATATTAATCCCATCGAGAACATGTGGTCCATACTTAAGTGACGTGTAGAAAAACGAAAACCATCGAATATCGACGAACTGGACCAATTTTTACATGAAGAATGGAAAAAAGTTGATATGACAATTATAAGTAATTTAGTGTATTCAATGAAATCGAGATGTTTGGCAATTATTGATTCAAAGGGAGAAAGAATAAACTATTGAGTATTGTAGTTTTGTAGTATACTATGTATGTAAACTTTCTATGAAAAAAGAGATTTTCTTTGATAGCGATAAATAAAAAAAAATTGTGAAACTTTAACGGGAATATTTTTTGCATCCTACTGTATGTATTATATGTAAAGCTTTTGTAAATTATATAGAAAAATATTTAAGTAGATTATGAAGATATTATTTAAACTTGATGATCTTGAAAAATAATTAGCTAACATACAAACACCAATTGTTGAACTCGATACCTGGTATAGTCATATTAAGTAAAAGACAAAAAAAAGAAAATTATATTATAGAAATTACTATATTTAGATAATCATCGAAGTCAATAACGCAAAAATAACTCATCGTTTTTCTTTTTCTTGTTTTTCTTCTGGATAAGAAAAAACTGATATTTATTTATTTTTTCTTTATTCATCTTTTAGAATTATATCACGTTTATTTTGGTTTGATTAAAATAAAAATTCAAACAAGATCCAGTGGTTTTGATAAAATGCGCCAATATCATAAAGTATTTTCACCTTTTAATAAAGATCATAAGAATATACATGATTGCAGCATAAGAACTCGATATGAAAATATTTGTTTTATTCTGATGAAACAATGACAATACCTCTTTATCAATTTTAAGTATTACTCTTCATTTATGTATTTTATCACCATGAGAAACTGAATTACAAGAAATTCAACAACAAATTAGTCATACAATTGGCTTTTGATATATTTGTCAAAGTAGCAGAAAATTTTAAAAAACAAATAATAAAGAAAATAGACGATGATATATATGAAACATGTCATGTGTTTGATAAATATGGTATTGGTTATGTTAGTGTTGCTAAACTGAAACATTCTATGCTTTCGTTGAATGAATAACTCACAGAAGAAGTTCACGAATTAATACATAAAGCTGATATTGATGTTAATGAACAGTTTGTATCTAACTAGCTAGAAACTTTTTTTTTTAAAATAATTTCATCGATTTTTCTATTTCCATTTAGATGCAACTGCGAAGATTTTATATGTATTTTAACAAATAAACAACACGAATATATGATTGAATTCTTCGTCAATGATAAAATAAACAAGAAATAATATATATTTCGTCTGATAATAACCCCATTGCTTTTCTATGTAATCTCTATAATTCATACATTTCTCGTTTTTTTTTCTTTAATGTTCTATTTTAGCAGTATCTATGATTCAACATATTTCCTTTTTTTTATCTTTGTTTTTTTCTTTGTTTTTTGTCTTCATTGATTGGATATAAATAATGAAATAGTTAAATTATTTATTATTGTATTTAATTGTTCAATATCTATCTGATGATGATAATACTACAAGGAAAAAACATCGAAATATCATATATTTATTTTATTTTATATCCTTTCATATTGAGTTCGAATTTCTTTATTTATTCCATTTAGTAATGTATTGTAATACATTTTCATCATGATATAGCTACATAATAAACGATAAAATAAAGCATGATAATAATGTTGTTCTAGTTTCTTTGTCATAGTACAAGCAACTAGTATTAAACACAAGGGGGAAACGACGGACTTGAAGTAGAAAAGTACGTCAAAGTACGTCAAAGTAGACTACTTGAAGTAGCCCAAAGTAGGAACAAGTAGCTTAAAGTAACTTCAGGTAAATTTGAAGTTGAAAAATACTTCAAAGTAAGCTACTTCAAGTAGCTGAAAGTAACTTGAAGTAGCTTAAAGTAGCTCAAAGTAACTTCAAGTCCAAAAGTCCGCCGTTTCCCCCTTGATTAAACATCGTAGTTATTTTAGTGCTAATTTGGTAAAATAGTTTATGAAAGTTTCAAAACATTTACTCTTATTATCTACACTAATCATGAGTTTTAAAATGATTTCAGAACTTCTGAGATCTCCTTAATATGTGTGTATGCAACTAGAGAGAGAGGTGAGTCATTATTTTGTCTTTTTCTATCTCATTAATATTGGACAAAAGTTGCACATGTGTCAGCCACTTATTATTCTTTTTTTTTATCACATACTTGCTACTACCATGATACTAGATTCTTTCTCTTCTCTCTTCACACAACTACTTTCCATCGGTCATGGACGAGTGATCAATATTTTTTTCGAACGTCAGCTCTGTCGATAGAGCATAATCCACATAGTATTATGCAGGCAAATACATACGCCGTACGCTTCACTGATTTCTGCAGTAGAACAGATATTTTTCTTCAATATTTCTATCCCTCACGATCAACAGATGTAAAAGTAATAAAGCACTGTTGTAAAGAGTCACAACTTTATTTTGTATTGATAATATCTCTCGATATCCTAGTGGGATCTGATGACCACTGCCTCCTCATATGAAAGGATGATATTACAGCAAAAGAAGCACATACACACAGATGTTTTTCCTACTTCAATTCTTTGTTACAGTGTTGTTGTTCAACAAGCCAGCTTCGAAATTAATTTAAATGCATAACATAAAGAATATTTTTGATAGATAGATTTTATTATTATTGGATGATGAATAAATATACAAAAAATAAAGCAAAAAAGAATGCATATTATAAAAAGAGATGAATGCAAAAAATATGTAAAAGAAATTCACATTTGCAATGACAATGGTCACTTACTGGGTAATTTTTGTTGAGTGATTGCTTTGAACAGTAGTCTCTCTTGATAGATTATGCAATTGATCGATGATAATCTATTGATTATTTGAGAGAAAAAAAAACCGTTGAGCTGAGAAATGAAAAAAAAGTATTTGAAATTAAAAAGTTCTGTTTCCGTTATAATAAAGTCGCATGAGCAGAAATTTAATCGATGACGGTGCACATTAACATCACCAAAAGGAAGACCAACACCAAGACATATTATATCAAAGAAAATCAATAAGAAACTTATTTTATTGATGTCACATGTGTGTATGTATCCAGTTCTGTACGTTAGATTATCCTTTTTTTTAAATTATAGCCTCATCTTTTAATGTGAATTTTTTTGAGGTCAATTTGATTCTGTTTTGATTTCTCTTTTTCTTTTCTGCTTTTTTCGTTCTCTAGCTATCTACACGTGTGTATAGAGAGTGAATCAATATCTACATGTTTTGTTTTTTTATCGATAGTACTGCTTCATTTTGTACAATGTCGAAGTTTTGTTTAATAAAAAAAAAAAGATAATAATAAACTATAAAACATCGCTATGCTCTTGAAAGTTTTATTAAAATCGTAAATTTTACATAAATCCAATCAAACACATATATTGTAGTAATAAAGGAAATAAATCATAAATGCCATCGAAGGACTTAAATAAAAGTGAAATTGATTTGTTTTTTTTTGAATGTTTCTATTGGATAAAAAAAAAACAAGTTGATTCCTTCGATTTACCGTCATATGATGATTAAATAAATGAAAGCATGAAGCCAATCAAACTGATCATTAGAGTTGACCTCAACCACTTTTCTTCTGCTAAATCTATTCTTTACATATGACATGCAGCACGCTTTCAACGTCTCCCACTCAATCTCTAAATATGAATTTTAGTCATGGA